GGGGAAAAAGGGCAGCTCAAAAGGGTTGTTGTCTACCAAAGGTCCTCCCAATTTCCACCACTGAAGAACCATGGATTCTGTGAAAAGTTCACTGCCCCCAAAAAATTAAGCCAGGAGCCCATCCACACGTGTGTGTGTGTGTGTGTGTGTGTGTGTGTGTGTTTGTTTGTGTGTGTGTGTGTTTCAGGGAGGGGTTACTTATGCCACTACAGTGGTACCTTGGGTTACATACGCTTCAGGTTACGTACACTTCAGGTTACATACGCTTCAGGTTACAGACTCTGCTAACCCAGAAATAGTGCTTCAGGTTAAGAACTTTGCTTCAGGATGAGAACAGAAATTGCGTGGCGGCAGCGTGAGGCCCTATTAGCTAAAGTGGTGCTTCAGGTTAAGAACAGTTACAGGTTAAGAACGGACCTCCGGAACGAAATAAGTACTTAACCTGAGGTAAAACTGTACTGTACTTCTGATCCTTCATTCGGAGATTTCTCAGACTAGTTCTATGCCAACTTTGAGTTACTGCATTTTGCCACTGCCTTCTGTGTCCTGTGAATCAGCAGTGTGGTATTATTACTATTTTGAGAGCAATGGCTTCCGTTCTGCAGAACCAGTTTGGCACCTTTCCCCTCCCCTCCCCTCCCTCCCCCATTCCATCTTTGGCTTTACAGTGGGTTTGGGGGAAGGATGTTTTCCCTTCCATTTTGTTCTCCTTGGGCTAATGGTCATGGAAATGACAGTCCCATTAAAAAAAAAAAAAGGGATGCTACTTCTCACTGCACACCTGCACATCAAGTTTTCAATAAATAATGCTGCTATCTGTGCTGCTTTTGTGAACTGATGCAGGATGAAGGCTGAACTGCTGGCCCTGCAGGGGATGGTGCAGGGAAAGGGTGGAGGGATCAGGCATAAGCATGGAGGGAGAGAAGCAGCAAGGAAGGGGGCTCTGGCAGAGGACATGTAGAACAGGGCTTGCGAAGAAGGCGCCAAAAGCCTCCAGTAACTAGCAGTCTTTACTATTGTCACACACACACACACACACACACACACACGCCATGCCTCTAGCTCTTGTGGCTATTCCAGTCCCCTGATGGGGACTGCATTTTATGAGGAGCTCACATTGTGTACCTTGGCTGGAGCGGATGGCGCTGTGGTCTAAACCACTGAGCCTCTTGAGCTTGCCCATCAGAAGGTCGCCGGTTCGAATCCCCTTGATAGGGTGAGCTCCCGTTGCTCTGTCCCAGCTCCTGCCAACCTAGCAGTTCGAAAGCACACCAGTGCAAGTACATAAATAGGTATCTGAGGGGTCAGAAGTAGTGACATCACCACAAATGGAGGTGAGCATCATGTGGCTTCTGTCATGGTGTTCCGTTGTGCCAGAAGCGGTTTAGTCATGCTGGCCACATGACCCAGAAAACTGTCTGTGGACTAACGCCGGCTCCCTTGGCCTGGAGCGAGATGAGCGCCGCAACCCCATAGCCACCTTTGACTGGACTTGACTGTCCAGGGGTCCTTTACCTTTTACCTTGGCTGGAGTTGGAGGGTCCCCATCAGGGACTGGTGCAGCCAGATGCAATCTAGCTGCTGCTCACTGAGTGAATGGTGACACTACATTAAGGTGAAGGCTGTTACTATAGAGCAAGCATGCAGAAAGGACCACAAATATATTTTCAAAACTAGGTGGGTGTGAGAAAACGGCATGAAAAGGGTGTCATACCCAACATCTGCGCACATGCACTATACACTGGCGGAGGAACAGGGGTGGGGGGTAGCGCACCACCCCCGGCGGCACGATCCCAGTGGGGTGCCATTGCGGCTGGGCCCCCCTGGTGCTGGGCGCCACGCCCCCACTGGTGGCAGTGTGGGCCACGCCTCTGGGATGCGTGTCACGCCCCCTGGCACACAAGGTTGACCAATCCTGACTTAGTCCATGTCAACACCAGACAGAGTTTGCTCCCCTCCTTTAAAGGTTTCTTATTTTAGCAAGAATCTGAGCCACACACAAACTTCACAGCACCCTTGCTTGACTCCTGAGTCAGACTCTTAGCTCTGCCCACTACCCTGACTCCATGCAAATACGGCGGGTGCCATCAGGGCAGACTTTCAGGCACAGTTCAGGGCCCCAGTCGGTAGAATGAGCAGCAGGGCTGACTTACCAATTTCGATGTAAGTAGAACATTGCACATTACCATCTAAAGACTGGTGGGAATAGGTGCATAAGATCATTCAGTCCAGAGTCTAAAAACAATCTTATAGCTTTAAGTATACAGTGGTACCTCGGGTTAAGTACTTAATTTGTTCCGGAGGTCTGTTCTTAACCTGAAACTGTTCTTAACGTGAAGCACTTTAGCTAATGGGGCCTCCTGCTACCACCGCGCCACTGGAGCATGATTTCTGTTCTCATCCTGAAGCAAAGTTCTTAACCCAAGGTACTATTTCTGGGTTAGCGGAGTCTGTAACCTGAAGCATATGTAACCCGAGGTACCACTGTATCTAAGTTGTTGACACCTGCTGATTCAAAGTCAGAAGAGACAGTTGCCAAATCTACCAATTTCCCACAGTGCTAATAAACAGGAAGTAGAAGTAGCCCTCACTGAATCTCTATTCCACAGCCAGGGCAGCTTGTTATTCACACCATGCATCCCTGAGTATGCTCTTGCAAGTATATGCTACCCAAAATGGTGCCACACAGAGGGCTCTGCGGGCACAGGGAAAGAATAAAAGCTCTAGGGCTAAATATAGGTTCCATGCAACTTGTGGAAAGCAGTTTGGGGAGAGGGGAATTTATAACTGATAAGCAGTGGGGCAGGAGTGTTATGCTCTCTCTGCCCAACATTTCTTCCCTCTGGGTCTCTCTCTCACACAAGGCCCCTCTGCAGCATTCGAAAGGAACATTTGGAACCTTCCAGGGGTTAAGGCTGCTTAGCTCATCTGCTTTGCATGCAAAAGGTCCCAGGTTAAATCCCTGGCATATCCGGAGGGTGCTGGGAAGACTCCCTGCCTGAAACCCCGGAGAGCTGCTGTCGGTCAGTGTAGACAATACTGAACTAGATGGAGCAATAGTCTTAACTCAGAACAAGGCAGCTTTTACGCATATGGTCCTGCATACCATTTCATGGAGAAGATGCCATTGTTGCCCAAAATCACATGGGAAAATGCTGCCATGCATATAAAGCATATACAGAAATGCCAGACAGCCGCAGTTTGCAAGCAATTTCTGCAATGGAAGGAGTTTCCAAAAGTCCTGCCATGAGATCACAGAAATCTCTGCGGCAATGTTTAAATCAGAGGTGGGGAATCTGAGGCCACGGAGGTTCATGCATCCTCCCAGGCTTCTCCTCTGAACTCTCTCTAGGCCTCATTCCTCGTGGGTCCTTCTGCAACCACCAAGCATTTTTGTGTAGCTGGAATGTATCCTTGAACTCTGATGTTACCTCTTGCTTATCTGGACCAAGGAGAGGAGGTGAGTGTTAGCATGTGTAAAACTACCCTACTGAACATAAGTTTTTTTTTAAAAAATAATGTTGATCCATCTATTTTTGCCTCTGACCTAGGGCCGGATTTAGGTTTGATGAGGCCCTAAGCTACTGAAGGTAAAGGGGCCCTTTATATCTCCAGCTGTCCTTTGTCAGCTACAAATTGTCACTGTTTTTTGTGCTGAATCTATGCTATATGGTAATTTATGGACCTAATAGGTATCTAAAGCCATTTGCACATAACAAAATATGTGATATTTTAGGGAGCAGACTAGCAGGCGGGGCCCATTACTTACATCATAGGAGCCTACACAGCACAAAACACTGCTGCTGTATGTAGGTTTTATTTATTTGTTTTTTATCTTATATTTTGGAAATGTGTATCCAGGTTTTTTTCCTTTAAATTTTTTGGGGGACCCCAAGAGAGTAGGGCCCTAAGCTATAGCATGTTTACTTATACATAAATCCGGCACTGCTCTGACCCCACCCACCACTCATATATGGTCCTCAATAAGTTTCCCAGAAGGTAAATATGTGGCCTTAGGGCTGGAAAATGTCCCCACTCATGATTTAAATGATGCCTACAACTAGATGTTTCCAAAGGAAAAACCCAATGAGTCCTGCCCAGTGGTTTATAATCTGGAGAATGGGGAGTTACAAGTTATCAGCGAAGTAAAAGGAAATCAGTCTTGGACAAAGAAAGCAAGGTTTTGATAAGCTGTTGTAATACAAGCAAAGAAGTGGCATGGATACCAGAAGGAATAGAAAATCCAAATATTAGGGCCAATTACAGGGAAATTGTTAAGAGATGAGAGACAGAATTTCAGATTTAACATAGCAAATGAATGGAAGTCATTTACTACAAATGAATAAAATGAAAACAGAGGAGAGTTTGGTGCTGTTTTCTTTATTAACAAAAAAGCGGCAGTCATGGGTGAGCTGTAAGGTAGCCAGTTATGCAGATGCTGCTGCATTATTCAGGATTGTGAAAACCCAAACAGACCTCAAAGGGCTCCAAAATAAATTCCGAAAGTGGGTGAATGGGCAACAAAATGACAAACATGTAAGCATAATGTTATGCACATTAGGACAAAACAATCAAACTTCACATACGCACTGATGGGATATGAACTGGCAGTGACTAATCAGGAAACAGATCTTGTAGTCCAAGTTTCCATCATCTGTGACTATTAAATTACATGCTATTCACTAGTTCATTCACATGAAGCTGACGGATAGCACTAGACACAGAATTTGCTCTCAGCTGACCAAACCAATTAGTTCTTCAAAGCATAAAATGTGGAGGGTTGCCAGGGTTGCCAGCTTATTCACTGGCCCTGGCTCCTGTGCCATTAACAGCAACTCGATCTATGCAAATGCAAGCTGGATAGAGGCCAAGAGCCAAAAATGTGGATGGTTATTTAAATTCAGTGGGCTTCTCTCACATCTGCAGCTTCTGAACATGTGCCCAGCTTCTCTGTGCAATTTCCTTCCCCTCTCAGGAGGGTGCAATTTCTGAGTGGAGGTGTAGTGGGTGGGTGGGTGCGTGCACGCGCGTGTACACACACACACACACACACACACACACACACACACACACATGCTTATCCCTTTCCCAGGTGACTCTTTTTCTGTTCAGAATTCCCTTGCCCATGGAGTTCCGTGTGCTTATTCATTTATTTTATTTGTTCTTTACATTCCCACCTTTCTTCCAAGGTGCCCAGGGTGCCATGCATGATTCTACCCTCTTCATTTTATCCTCACAACTAGGTAGTAGGTTTGGCTTCAAGACAGTGCCTAGCTAAAGAGCACCACGTGAGCTTTATAAGGATTTGAATGCTGGTCTCACAGGTCCCAGTGTGACCCCTACACTGGCTGCTGGAAATACATGCTTTTAGTGTTTTGTAAACCTAACAGCGACTCTGTAGAAATAGGCAGTTGGCAGGGGGCGTTATTTAGGGAAAGGGTTAAGTACATCTTTGTACCATCCCTTTCCCATTTTCCGTCTGAAAACCAGAACCTCCAAAGGCTGCCTCCTCCTCCTCCTCCTCCTCCTCCTCCTCCTCTTCTTCTACTAGCACCTGCTACCAGGGCTTCCTCACATTTGTGTGTAGTTTGCCTCTGTCTCCTCTCACTGGCTTTCCCTCAGGCCTTTGGATGAACCACTCCCCTCCTCTAACCCTCCTTTTGCAGGCAACTTCTTGCGTCTTCTTTTCTTTCTTTTTCTTTTCTTTCTGCAGTCTTCTCCTTCCCTGGGCCTGCCACTCTGTGTCCAAGCAGCTTAGCCAAAGACAGTAACATCAAGTGAAGCGCCTCTTAACTTCAGGATTTTAAGCGGCAGTCCAAACCACACTTCAATAGGGCCTTATTTTAAGTAGACATGGTTAGGATTGTGCTGTTAGTTAGCCTTTGGAACATAGTGTTTTGGAATATACCGTACATTGGAGGGCAGGAGGAAGAAGTCTGTCATCACGATAACAATAGATATTTTTCGTGATTAGTTACTAGCCTCTGTCTGGCTAGAAATATTCCCCAAGTCTAAATGCTTCTAGAAGATTTTCATTCTTCAGGTGGTAATGAGCTGAAACATCAACTGATGGGACTGCGCCTCTTTCAACCACCACAAGAATCACTCTCAATCTCTGTAAAGTGGGGTACAATGCCAAATGCATAAGGCCCCAGTCACAAGCAGCCACCCGATAGCTATTTCTGGAACTAGGTAATGCCATAAGGGAAGCCCCCTGATTTGCAAAATGGCATGTTGGGTTATAACCATCATCCCATGTGAAGGTGACCAAGAAAAAGAAACTCTCTGGTTGTTAAGCAGCCCATTGTCAATGTCTCAGATAAAACTGACCCAGGAATAGAATACAGTGGTTCCTTGGATTATAGACGCTTCAGGTTACAGACGCTTCAGGATACAGGCTCTGCCAACCCAGAAATAGTACCTCAGGTTAAGAACTTTGCTTCAGGATGAGAACAGAAATCACGCGGCGGCAGCAGGAGGCCCCATTAGCTAAAGTGGTGCTTCAGGTTAAGAACAGTTTCAGGTTAAGAACAGACCTCCAGAACGAATTAAGTTATTAACCTGAGGTACCACTGTAAAAGGCATTGGGAGGGGAAAGGAGAGGATCAAGGTATTATTTGAATCCGGGTTCACCAGTGCTTAATCTCAGAACTTCTGAACCCCAACACACCACTGTCACGGCAAGACTCAGTCCTGGGAGATGTGCAGTAAAAGACGGGGACACTGAGCATGTGCAGAATGCATTTTCCTCAGCACTAAGAAACCATGACCAAAGCCTTAGATCTGGAATTGAGACAACAAGGCAGGGGGAGTGGATTAAGTGCAATGCAAGTTATAATCAATATTAGGCAATTAAGCTTTTAGCATAATATTTCAATATTTAGTGCAGGTGAGACCAACAGATCTATGTAAGACCGGCAAGGTGAGCTGTATTACTTCCATTGCTAGAAGCTAATTATTATTTGGCCTTCATTCTGCAAAATGTTGGCTATAATTCCCATTTATTTCAGTTGGGTTACTTATAAGAAGCAAGGCTAAGCAGTCCGTAGCAAACTGGGATCTTTCGCAACATTGATCCCATAAACTGAATAAAGATAAAACCATTTTGTTTTAGTACCTCCGTTCAGTGAAGAATTGCACGCCCTGTAACTAGACTCTGCAGTATTAAAAGATATAACATTGAACACCAGCTTTTGATGAAATATGAATAATTGGGTGAAGCAGCCCACATCAGTAACACCCCAAAGGAGTTGCCTGAGGAGCAAGTGCCATAAGAAACCAGTCAAGATTCAGTGGAAACACCCTGTTGTGATTACATTCACACCATACGGCTGTGGAATTTGTCATCTCATTCTCTGCCAAGATGCAACAGTTCTGGGCACTGCTGAACATGCCATCAAATGATTCACAGCAGCTGAAGTTGTATTTTGCTTACATTACAACACCCAGCCAGGGAAAGTGTGACCTAAGATGCATTTTGCTGAACTTCATCAGCTATTCCCATATGAGGGGAGAATTGGTGTATTGGAGGCCATGCCAAAAACTTCAGAGACACTAAATTAAATCCTTCCTTGAGGCCATTGGCATGGAATCTGTGGCTCGAACGGGCTCTTTTAGGCTATAAACCATGTCATGAAAAATTCCTGACCAGGGCTTCTTGCAGTGGTTTAAGAGAGAACTATTTAAAATTTGATTACAACGTTCTTCTCCTTTGTTATGTTCTCAATCAAAAGGAAAATAAACTATTGCTTTTCTACGCCATCACACTTCTCTTGTGCTGGGTTCAGAAGGCTACTACCATGTTACAACTTGTGCTTCTTAAACAGTTCCAGCAGAGAAAACTAATGGAATTGGTTAGTTATTCATCACACAGGTAGCGAGCGCACTGTGGCCTCTTGGACAGAGTTGTGGCTTTGGATGCTTCCCTAATGTCACCGCATTATTGCAGTCTGGAGGGACACAAAGAAACCATAACCTCGGAACATTTGTGGTATTAAAAGTTACAGGATGTTAGCAGGAAACTACAGGACATACACCTATTGCAAACAAAGCAGTATGCCTCCCACCCAAGAGCAAATGCTATTGAAAGCCTGAGAGCCAGTGTGGTGTAGTGGTTAAGAGCGGTAGATTCGTAATCTGGGGAACCGGGTTCGCGTCTCTGCTCCTCCACATGCAGCTGCTGGGTGACCTTGGGCCAGTCACACTTCTCTGAAGTCTCTCAGCCCCACTCACCCCACAGAGTGTTTGTTGTGGGGGAGGAAGGGAAAGGAGATTGTTAGCCGCTTTGAGACTCCTTCAGGTAGTGATAAAGCAGGATATCAAATCCAAACTCTTCTTTATGTATAACTGCCCATATAACACCACAAGCACAAATCAGATTGGATTTCAATAAGTAGTCCTCTAACCTCTCCCACAAACTCTCACTCTCTTCCTCTGACAGCATACCCTATGCAAGTGGTTTTCAACCAGTGTGCTCTGGCACCCTCGGGTGCCTTGAATGATGGTCAGGGGTGCTGCAGGCAGCAAAGGCCTCTGTCCCTCTTTCCTTCCCTCCCCCTCCCTCTGATGCCCTTTCGCATCTGGCTTCCCCAAGGCTTGCACAGCTGTTTATTGCAGTAGCTCTGGCTACTAGCTCTGCAGGCAAATGGTGCCTCTGGAAGGGATGGGGTGGCAGCTCAGAGACCAGGGATGGCAGCAGCAGCTGCATGGAAGACTCCCAAAGAGAGGGGAGAGGAGAGGAGGCTGAGTGAACACTCCATGAGGGAGTGTGTTAGAAAAAGGGTGAGAGGCTGCCAGCTCCGTAGGCAAGGGGTGACATAACTGGGCTCCTGAGGCCCACAGGGGTACCAAAGGAGTTGGTCAAGGGAGCCATGGACTCAGAAAGGTTGAAAACCTCTGCCACTGGTCTTCAACTGGTGGGTCATGGCTTGACCTGATTCAAAACGAGTCACTGTAGAAGCACTACCACCATGCAGATATATGGTAAAAGATTAGGAAATGGATCCCCAAATGCATGTTTGGGTTAAAAGTGGGTCCTGGAAAAGTTGAAGATACCTGCCCTATGCAACCCCACAATACTTGCTTGTTTCTGATTAATTTTGGTTTGGTGTTGTTTCTACTAGTTTAGCTTAGGAGTTGTTCACATGATTCTGTTCCGAACAGAACACCCTGTGATTACCACAAAGGAGTGTACAATGTGATGTGTGAATTGTTATTAGGCAGTCCTATTTCATAACTTGCTCGCTGCACTGTTAAAGAATTGATAAAGAAAGCAAATTGCTGAAGCTGGTTATGCTGCCTGGATGTTGTCTCCAGACCTCACTGAAGCAGCAGTCGAATGACCAGAAGCTGAATTAGAAAGTGTAGGGTAACTGACAACATACATCAAAACACTCACAAAACCACATGCCCAGATTGCAAACATGTGATCAGAACACAGACTGACAAAATCTAGAGTCCATTGCTTAATAATCCATTGTGATTCATCTCCCAGGATAAGTGTGCAATGTGAAAAGCCCACTTCATTTCATAACACCCTCAGAACTTTACGTTGTACTTAAATCTCATTGAAATTGTTGAGACAGTCTCACCAGAAGTTACCTTGTCCCATTGATTTTAGTCATACTTAAGTGCAAGGACTCATTATTTGTGCAGACTTTCTTTGAAAAAGATTGAATGTGGAACCCATTTAACACAATTCAAAAACTTTCCCCAAATATGTTCCCCATTACCATGAAAGTCCTTTCCCCTCCCACCCCCACGAATAGGGAGATTTGTAGCTTAGAATTCTTGCAACAATTTTGATTTCCATGTCCCTTGAATGTTATTCCCATCCAAGCCTATTATTGGGGCTTTGGGGGCGGCGGCGGGGGGGAGGAGAATACAGTATGTATAAACAAATGTAGAGGCTTTGAGAAATTCCTTTCCCACCCCATGACAAATTTATGAAGCCAGCTCCACCCATCCACACAACCTGATGGGCTGTGCAAGACTTGAATTTTGAGGAAACAAATTACAAAAGCACTAAGCAACTAATCAAGTCATTCATGCAACTAAATAAAAGGGGAACCTGTC